AAAAAACAAAAAAGAACAAGAAAAATTATACTAATAAGAATTCCATACACTTGCAGTCCATTGCTCCCCACTTTTAAAATTCTTGATAGCCCAATTTACATCTTTCTATATTGCTTGTCTTTTAATATATTAATGTAGTTATTTTCATTGTTTCAGTTTTAGTCATCATGTTAAAGGTGTGAATGGTTAACATATCATACTTACAATATTAGAGCATTCTGAACTTTTATACTATTGCTAGTGAGTTTTACACCTTCCCATGTTTTCTTCTTACTCACTATCATGTTTTTCAATGTGAAAAGCTTCCTTTAGCATTTCTTAGGAATAGGTCTAATGGAGACATAGTTTCTCACTTTTGTTTGGGAATATCTTTATCTCTCCTTCATTTCTCAAGGATAGTTTTGCTGGTTTCAATACTGTGTTCTTAACTGACAGTTTTTTCCTCCAGTTAGTCCTGTGAAACCCTTATGCAACTCTCTCCTGTCCTTTAAGGTTTCTGTTAAGAAATTCACTGTCAGATGAATTCAGACACATAGGGGTGTTTATTTTCTCCTCCAGCCTTGAGAATCTCCTCATATTTCACTTTCTAGAGCTTGATTATAAGATATCTTGGGTTAGCCTTGGTTGAGTTAAATTAATTTTTCTACCTCTTTAGCATTTGCAAGTCATTCTTGAATCCTTAGTAACAAAAGTATTTGCTGTTTTAGTACTGTTCCAAAATTCCTGTGAACTTTCTTTATTTTTTCTTTTTTCTCTTCCAGATGAATATTTTCTAACAGTCTATCTTCAAGCTCATTAATTTTTCTGTTGAATTTGATTCTTGTATCATGTTTTAAGTTTCACTGAGTGCATTTTTTAGTTCAAGAATTTCTGTTTGATTTTTAAAAATTGCTTCCATCTCTTCATTAAGTTTCTCTGTTAAGAGCACTGAAGTATTTCTCTGTATTTTCTTCAAGTTCTTTGAATTTCCTTTAAATTACTTGCAATTTCTCCCATACAATTTACTGCCTGGTCCGTTTCTGGCACCATATTTTGAGTAGTAGACTAGAGCCCTGTGTCTTCCCCTGCTACTGGAGCTCCTTCCGATGTCCCATCTACAGACCAACCTGGGAAAGGGGCCATCAGGATCTTCCCCATGTTAGGGTTAACCATCTCCGCACTAAGTTCCAGGGCAAAGTCTTGTGCTTACTATGCCATCCTATTCCCAGCACAAATGGGGTCTTGCACTACTCTGTGCTGCCCAAGGTAAGGATAGTGCTGGTGGAGGCAATGACATGGCTAAGTTAGGTCACGCCTGAGTCTCACAGTTACAAGGACCTGCATAGTGTCGGGGATGGGATGGGAGACCAAGTCCTGTAGCTGGGAGTGATATGGAACAAAATAACTGTTCCACTGGGCACAGGTCTCTGTCTGGTGCCGGAGAAGTTCTAAAGCCCCATTTGTGAGCATAGGTTTGATAATAAGTGAGCCTGAGGGAGGGGGGTGGTGGAGGCCACTACAGCTGGCCCTCAGCTGGGTCACATCCCTAGTCTTGGCCACAGGGGACTCCACAGTTTTGGAGAAGGACAGGTATGCTCTGGGCCCACTGCAAGGCTGGAAATGATACAGCCTAAAACTAGGTTCTACAGTACATAGGGCTCTGCCTGATTCCATGGTTGACCTACAGGTTCTGTCTGTGACTTCTTGGCCTGTGTATGAGGACTTCAGTTTCTAATGGATACAGAGTCTCACCATGGTGAACAAAGCTGTAAACTAGTTTATGTGCCCTGCTAGCTATGGACTAGAGTACTGCTCCCCACTCTGCCACCCAGTGTTGGAGGAGGGGTGCTCAAGATTGTTAGTCATCCAGCTTAATGCAGTTCCTGGGGTTATTGATATTAGGGTTCATGGATATTGGCCTGACAGGAGCAGAGGCTTTGCAGAGCACTCAGTTTCACCATGGCAGGCCTGCTAGTGGTTTTCAAGTCTAGGTCTTGGACTTAATTCCCTCTTCCTCCCCAAGTGGAAGGTTTCTCTGTTAAGCTGCTTGGAAGTGAAGGAGGGGAATCAGACAACTCTTTCCTTCCTGCTTTTTTCAGTATATCTTCAGTTTGTTACACTGCAAGTAGAGATGATACTTTCTCACCTAATTTCCTTAGCTCTTACACAAGTAGTTTGTGTGTGAACAGCTGCTGTACTAGGTACATTTGTGGGGAGCCCATCACTGGAAGAGCTTAATCAACCACCATCTTTTTTTTTTTGGCAGGGGGAGGGAGACCTGGGGAATCAGACTTGGCATGTGGCTGGTAAGCACTTTTCCACTGAGTGGCATCTTGAGTCCTCAACCATCATTTTACTCTGCCTCGCCAGGATTCTTGCTTGGCTCTGTCCTTGCTTCCATCAAAGAACTTCCTCTTTAATCTTTTTATCTTGCCTTTAGAGCGAGGCTGAAACTTCCATGTTTAAAATGGGCCGCATGACTCTTTTTTTGGTTGCAAACTATTAGGGTAGATAGTATCTAAATATTCTAGCACTCTCTGACTTTGATTCTAATTGCTGTCAGAGTCTTAGAAGCAACTTTAAAATAATTGTTTCCTGAGTAGCAATGAAATTGCAGCTAAGTAAATTAGTTCTGAAGGGAAGTACCTAGAGAGGTTAATAAAATAAGATCCTGAAAAAGGAGAGCTAAAACCTGGCATGCACACTACCATCTTCCCCTTCAAAATCCCAAGCATCATGGCATTTTGCCCCTGGAAGTCCAACCTAGAGTCTGTATCGACCCAGTTCAACACTACAGGAACCTGACTGACTCTCAAGGCCAAACTTCCTTGTGATTCCTGCTCTAGAGAAAGTGGTCAAAGTATTAAGCTATTTTGTGCTGAGGAAAATATGTATAAGAAAATTTATACATACAGTATATAACATCCTTGGAATTTAAATTGTGTTCCATAATTATGCTCTTGCAATGTAAAAAGATTTTTTAAAATGACTAATTCTATTAAATTTTACATTTAGCCCTGATTTCCTGCTTCAGTTGTGCAGTATAACCTTTGTATTGTTCTTTACTGCTTTGTGCCTTAGATTTCTCATCTGGAAAATGAAGCACTAAGATTTATTAGACCTTATATCTAGATCTAGATCAGAGATCTGACCCTTTTAAATTTGAAAGATCTCAAATTCTATGAATTATATGTCACTTCATATGTTCTTGTTTCTCACATTTAAAAGTAATTATATTGATAGCAATTTATATACAGGGTAATAAGTAATGCTTAAATGCTTATGGAAATTAAATTTTTATTGATTTAAAAAGAAAAAAATGCTTGGAAATATCATGCTACCCACTGTGACCCTGGCTGGAATCCCTACAATCATAATTGCTACAAACTTCAGAAAGAAGAAAAGACCTGGAATGAGGCTTTACATTCTTGCCAGTCTGGTAACAGTACACTGATAGACATTGCTTCATTAGCAGAGGTGGAGTTTCTTGTAAACTTCCTTGGAGCTGGTGAGTACTAACTGCCTTTGATTTAAGAGGTATGAAATATCATGGCATAACTCTTTGATTAGTGATTTTTCCTAAGTAGTATGCAGGAATGTAGTCATTGGATTTTTATACAATACTTGTTCAGAAACTTTATAACATCTTTACAGATGCCAGATATATTACCTGGCTTTTTTTTTTTTAGGGATAGAAGTTATTTACTGAAGTTTCTAATAAAAAACCTAAACCTAAAATTTACCTTTATGGCCTTTAGATAGCAGTATTGTACTGTGCTCAATTTTCTAGGCACATAATGAGATTTAAATCACTTTAGCCAGTAGCAAAGGATAATTTATCCAGTGCGGTGGTTCTCAGGTTATGTGTCATGCTGAACTCTGGGCTCCTGGGCCCCCAACACCTTCAGTTCATCAGAGCAAGTCTGCTCCTTCCTGTGTCCCACGTTTGACACAGAATCTTCCTAAAAGAAAAAAATGAACTTTTTTACTTTACTTTTCAGTGTCTAAAAACGAAAACAAAACCAAGAAAAAAAGAAAAAGAAAAAGGATCCTGACCCTACTTTGATGACTTTTCAATGTTAAGCTTTAGTTTGGAGTGAAAACAAAAAATCTTTTTCTGTCATTTTTCTCTAATCCTCTGCATTTAGGATTAAAAGAATCCTCCACCTACCTCTGTATCAGCGAGGACACTTGAACATCTCTCTCTCAGTCACTAAGGGTCTTCTCACCCTACCCAGGCTACTAAGTTTTAGTTATGTTCTATCAACCCTTTACTCCCATTGCAATGCTTTTAAGAGCTTCAGTTTCTTTTTCCTTGGCAGAAAAAAATCTTAAAGCTATATTATCATTAGCTATAAAAAAAAAAAGATGCTTCTTTTATAGTCCAGCAGATCTTCTCACTTTTCCTTTCTCTAGACAGAAGCAAAACCAGACTTTTGAGGTCTACTTCACAAACTGTAGTTAGAGCCAGAGTGCGAGGAATCTGACTTGCTTCAGCTTTGTCCTTGTGTTGGCTTTAGATCACACTCTGCTTAAGCAAGCAGATCTGGATATAAGAGGGAAAAGGTTTCAACTGATACTTTATAGACTTAAACAGCTTTTATCACATTAAGAAATAAAGAAATCACATGAAAAATGGTATATTTTGGTGGTAACCTCAGTGCATTATCACTTTTTCAAATAGTAAGATCTTGTGAGTAAATTATATTTATCTCTTACAGAAAATGCATCAGAAACGTGGATTGGTTTGAGCAGCAATACAATTCCAGTTTCCTTTGAGTGGTCTAATGGCTCTTCAATAATATTTACTAATTGGGACATACATGAGCCCCAAATTTTTCCAAGTAGAAGCCAGCTATGTGTCTCAGCAGAGCACCCTGTAAGTTGACTCATTCATTCAGTGCTCATTTTGTTGAACTTGTATTGAGGGCCACTTGTGCTGGAGACATGGGCCATGGCAGAGACCAACACATAAACAATAGAAGTTCCTCATGGGACTTCCAGGCTAGGTAGTAAACAAGTAGACACAGAAAACTCATGGAAATTGTAGTTGTGGTGATTGCTCTGAGGTTATAGGTGACATGATAGTGGGAGCTTGGGTTGAGGCAGCTCCTTTAGACAGGACAGTCAAAGAAAGTGACATTTAAGCTAGGATTTAAAACAAACAAACCACTTGCAGAACAGCAGGAAGAACATTCCAGGAAGAGGACAGCTAGTGCAAAGGCTTGCCATCTTTCATGACCAAAGAGTGACTAGTAGTGAGGAAGTGGCAGGAGATAGGACAAGAAGAATGCAAAAATGCCAGGCTTATAGGCCATGGTACAGGAACCCTTCAGGTGTTTCAAGGACACTGGAGCATAATCTGATTTACATTTTAAAAAGAAGTTGTGGTTGCTACATAAAGAGTTGTTTGGAGAGGGGTAAAATAGAAGCAGAAAAATTATTTTGGAGGCTACTTAGAGTAGTAACTATAAAGAGAAGTGAATAGATGCTTTGGGTGGCAGGACTTACTGCTAAGTTAGAAGAAGGGATAAGAGAGAGATGGATCTAGAGGTTGAGCAACCACCATTTTGATAGATGGTGGTGCTGGTGACCAACATGTTGAAAATGACAGGAAAAACAGGATGAGAAGATTACTCTGGAGAGTGATGGTTTTAAAGGTCCATTATTTTATTAACATAAACAGTTTCAAACAACATATGTAACCTTTTTGAAAAGTATAAACCAATGGTAAACCTCACATTTTTTTCTCACATGAATGGAATGAGCCTACTGGTATTAACTTCCCACTTGCCCAACATTTTCATCTCTCATTCACCTAAAACATCTGATGATACAGAATTAGTTCAATACCAAGCCACTTGATGGTTTAGTATGTGTTTAAAATGGACTTATTCTCTTTAACTACTGAAAGCACTGCTGAGTGTTAGGAAGTTATTGGGGTTGTTTCTAACCATTGGATATCATATTTAGTTTCCCCAAGAAGCAGCTCATTAAATTCTACATAAGTAGTTTGGCAACCAATCAAACATGGAAAACATCAAGGCACTTGCTTTTTTGTGACACATTTCATTGTTGTATCTTTTAAAGTTTGCGTGGACATGTGCAGTGCCAATTACACATGCCTGCACAGTGTCTCTGAGTTACATTTGAGGAAGGAAAATGACCTCTCTAAACATTTATCATGGGTCCAGTGCTTCTGAAATCCAACACACTTTATTCTACTCTACCTTAGGTTTTATTGATTGATTGATTTTGATGTAAGTTAAAATGATCTTCATCTCCTATTGAATGACATGTTTCACTTACTGTACTTACTGAAAAGAAGCCAACATTTGGATGGGGATTAGTTTTAAGAGAATGAAGATAGATATTAACATTATTGTGTGAGTCAGAACAATGCTGCCCTAAGTATGATATTTTGCAGCCTCCTTTTGGCAGCTTAGTAGCTCCTTAAATAGCAGATGTATAAAAGTTAACATTTACTTCCATCAAGTTTCCATCAACTCAATATAAATATTATTATTATAATTAACAAGTTACATAACATGGTTAACACCTAATTTTGAATGGGGAACCCTAGGAAATTTCATTCATCCATGCATCCAACAGCTATTAAGCAACTATGGTATGCTTGACCCTATCCCATAACTAGATGGTTTGCTGGGTGACTCCGTGGAGGAAAGACATAGCGCTGTTCTTACAGGTGAAAGTATTGGCCCCTGACATGTGTTTCTGAAGGTCATGGATGGGCTCCAATTCCCATAAAATCCTGGATACCTGAAATACCACCTGAAACTTGAATTGTGTGGTGTTAGTCCAAGGTTCTGATTTGTGTTAAAATTTTAAAAAGTGTTTGGGAAAATAAAATTTTAATCTGTTAGCAATCATTGCATCATTATTAGTGTAGAATCTGAATGTAGCCTTCTCTAGACCTAGGAGAAGACATGAAGATATCTGACTGTGATATAAAGAGAAGGTGAGTGGTGCTCTGAAAACTTAGTGATGAAGAAGGACATTGGGGTTTGAACATGAATCTCAGCCAGATATCATCCAGGTATTTCTCCAGCCTGAGATCTATGCGTGAAAGCAGCAAAGCCTTTGATTTAGTACTTACAGCTGGAGAAAGTAGCGTTCTCACTCAGAGGGACAACATCATTCAAGTGGTTCTCAAAATGTGGCTCCAGATCTGCAGCACTAAAGTTCTCTGAAGCCTTGTTACAAATGCAAATTTTTAGGTCCCTCCAAAGCCATTGAGTGAAACATTTTGATCATGAGCCCGGTCACTGGTGTTTAGGAATTCCTCCCCATGATTCTGATACACTCTAACAACTGAGGATCATTGCTCTCATCTATCTTTTTAAAGGAAAAATTGAGAACAATTTACTGCAAAGCCAGGCTGACCATGTTATCAATCCTAGCTCCAATTTTTTTATTGACTATAGGGAACAGAGTATTAAACTTAATCTTTAAAATTAGAATAACAATTGCTTTCTCATGGAAACTCTGAGATTGTTTGAAAATCACCCAACAGTAGGCCTAGAATATAGCATCAAACAAGAAGTAAGGGTTTCTTTCCTCCATCTTGTCCACTCAGTTCAGGACTGCAGATACTGGAGTTGTCATGTGCTGCAGAGCCAGCAGCCCATCCTTAACCTCATCTGTGGAAAGAGTGCTAGCCCTTTCCACACCAGGCAAGATCCTGAAACATTATCCCACTGGAAACACTTGCTATTCATCACATTTTGACTCATAATTATTGGTATTGCCCATCAACATGAGCATGAAACATATTAACTCATCTTGTAACACTTTTCCCCTTAGGAGGGACACTGGAAAGTTAAAAATTGTGAAGAAACACTTTTTTACACATGTAAAAAAGCAGGCCACATCCCTTCTGACACAGAATCAGGATGTCAAGAGGTAAGTGTTGTAACACTGCAATTTAGGTACAGAGAGTACTGAACTAGAATAATATACCCAGCCTCAGTGGATAGCAAATTTCCCTCCTGAGTCTTTGCTCTCTTCCCTCCTTCTTTTTGCTTTCTGAGAGTGAGCTGCATTTTAGAAACCAAATAATTATCATCTAGAGGCACCTGAAGGATTCACAGCCCAGACAAGGATCATTGTCTTGCTGGGCTGTGAGCCAAGGCCACTTTTTTTTATTAAAAAATGTAAACAATCCAGTTATCCATCCGTATAAACAGCGACTGTCCCATGATGTCCCTGTTCACATGAGATTTTCTTAGTTCTCAAGAGGAATGTCAAAGAGAAAGTGACCATATTCCTTGGAGTCAGAGAGTGAACTTCTGCCTCAAGCATCTTGCCTTCCTCTTCACCCTGCTTAGACTTACAAATAATACTGGACAAAATTGCATATTTGCAGTATGTTTATTATTTAGAAAAGAAATAGTAGAAATGATAGAGCAATACTATACAATAAGACAGGCCCTTGCCTTGCCTCCATGTTTTTTCCACAAAATGTTTTGTTCCACCAATGTAACAGTTTGTGCTCCTGGGCAGGGCCCCTGCCCAATATACCAAAATGTTTTGTAACTCTCTAAACTAGTGACCTCTCAGGAGTGTTCTGTTAGCTCCGCCCCCTTCAGTAATGTTTTGTTAACTCCACCCCTCTGTTTCTTTGAGCCTGCTGGTCTACCCTGTAGATCCCTGTATAAGGAGGCTCCCATTTTTGGTGAAGTACTCAGGCTTTGGAGTAGGAACTCCTCTGAGCTCGTGTAATAAAAGGTTTTCTCCACCTCTTCAAGTGACCTTTGGATTTTTGATTCTCCAAATTGCAGTAGCAGTGACACTGAGCTATTATAGCACTTGGCTGTGCCTCAGACCTGTGACACTTGACAATAGCGCTGAGCTGTTCCTCTTTGCCACAACAGAAATATTTTACATTTAGTATAAATAACAAAGCATTTTAGATGTACTAAAATACTTAGATCAAAATCCAAAAGGTAGAAATTATTGTTTTAAAATTTTTTGAATACATTTAATATGCTGTCATAAAGTTGTATAAAATCTACCTGTCTGCATTTTCAGCACATATGCTCACTTTTCTGCCCCTCTCAATTTTTTAAAAAATAAATTTTATTGGTACATAGTAGGTATACAATATAATGATATTAATCACTGGAAATTTCCACCTTTACATAAACTCTCTTGATTCTTATTTTTTCCCCATTCCCCTGCCCACCCTCAACCCCTCCATCCCTCCCTATTTATAAAGACTTTATTTCCATTTTTTCATTTTTTCATATTAATTCCATTCCCTTCTTTCCTTTCCCCTACCCCTCCTACTTCCCCTTCCCCTTTGCCCCTTTTCTTCCTATTTGACATTATCTATTATACCCTTTAGTCCTTATTTACACTTTCAGTTTCACACACCACAGAAACTATTTGGTATTTACACATGTCTGCCCTATTTATTTCACTTAAGAGTATCGCCTCAATGTGCATCCATTTAGCTATAAATGTCTCTAAATTCTCATTTTTTATGGCTAAGTAGTACTCCATTTTATTTTTTTTAAAAACGCATTTTCTTTATCCAGTCTCTGGTTGACGGGCATTTGGGCTGCTTCCAAGTTTTAGCTATTTCAAATTGGGCTGCTATGAACATGTGGGCACATATATCACTGTGGTATGATTCTTTTAATTCTTTGGGGAAGATATCCAGCAGAGGAATAGCTGGGTAAAATGGGACTTCTAGTCCTAGTTCTTTGAGGTATCTCCATACTGATTTCCACAGTGCTTGCACCAGTCTACACTCCCACCAGCAGTGGAGAAGGGTTCCTCTTTCACACAGCCCCGCAAGCATTTGTTATTGGTTGATTTCATGATAGCAGCCATGCTTTCTGGGGTGAGGTGTAGTCTCAGCATTGTTTTCATTTTCATCTCTTGAATGACCAGTGATGTTGAACATTTTTTCATATGTTTATTTGCTATTTCTACTTCTTTGTCTGAGAAATGCCTGTTCATTTCAGATGCCCATTTTCAGATTGGGTTTTTAAATTTGGGAGGTCTGATTTTTTAAAGTTCTTTATAGATTCTAGATGGTAGACCTTTGTCTGAGGAACAGCAGATGAAATCTTGTTCCCAGATTGTGAGTTGTCTCTTCACACTGTTGGTGGTTTCTCTTGCTGTGCAGAAGCTTTTTAGTAAGAAGAGATCACACTTATGATTGTCTGTGCTAGTTCACAGCCAACTGGGGTTTTGTTCATAAAATCTTTCCTACACCAATGTCTTCAAGAGTTCTACCTACCCTCTGTTCCAGCCGGTTCAGCGTTTCTGTTTTAATATTTAGATATTTGATGCATTTCGATTTTAGTTTAGTGCATGGTGAGAGATACAGGTCTAGTTTTAATCTTTGGCAAGTTGAAACCCACTTTTTCCAACATCATTTATTGAAGAGGCTATCTTTCCTGCAGTGAGGGTGTTTGGCTCATTGTCAAAGACGAGGTCGCTGAGTGTGTCTGGAGTTGTTTCTATATCTTCTAATCTGTTCCTCTGGTCCTCAGATCTGTTTCTTTGCCAGTACCATGCTGTTTTTAATGACAGTTCTTTGCAGTATAGTTTCAAATTGGGGGTGGTGATACCCCCTGCCACGTCTCTTTTGCCTAGAATTGCTTTTGCTATTCTAGGTCTCTTCTTGTTCCAAATGACTTTTTGGATTGTTTTCTCAAGGTCCATGAAGTATGCTGCTGGGATTTCAAGTGGGATTACATTGAATCTATATAGCAGATTTGGAAGTATGGCCATTTTTACTATGTTGGTTCTTCCTACCCAAGAGCAGAGGATGTCTTTCCACTTTCTGATATCATCTTCAATCTCTCTTTTCAGAGTGCTCTCTTTTCAGAGTGCTATAGTTTTCAGAGAAGAAGTCTTTGATTTCTTTCATTAGGTTGATTCCTAGGTATTTCAGTGTTTTGGATGCTATTGTAAAAGGAATTATTTCCCCTATTTATCCCTCAGTGAGTCTGTTTTTCATATAGAGGAAAGCTATTGATTTTTGTGTGTTGACCTTGTATCCAGCGACATTACTGAATTGGGTTATTAAGTCCAGAAGACTTTTGGTGGAGTTCTTGGGGTCTTCTATATAGAGTATCATGTCATCTGCAAATAATGGCAATTTGA